AGGTCATTTGTGGATTCAATTCATATTGCACATATTAAGGGGGAGCCTTCCATAAATCATTGAACCCAAAAGCCAAATTTTTTATATCCTTTTGTAAGCTTTAATCGGGTTGTCATCAATCACCAAAAAGGGGGAGATTGAAAGTGCATCTAGCCCCTTAGTGGGTTTTGGATGATTGAATGATAACACGATTAAAGGTCTAACATGTTTGCTAAGTGTGAAACAGGAAATTGAAAGTCTCACATACACTTGAGTTCAAATATAAAGCCAAAATGATGTGTTGTTGTATAAATAATCTAGTTCAAGCATAAAACAACAATGCAAATGGAATTCATGTAAAGGCTTATTTATTGTGGGATTTCAATGATTGATGAAGATGGTGTTCTATGGAATTCATTGTATGATTCAACACAAGATGTGACTTGATGGTTTGAGATGGTGAAAATAGCAAGGAAAGGCTTCGAGGTACTAAGCAAGGGTGAAGGGCAAGCAACGGCTTGGCAGCCGAAGAACCTAGCTAGGGTGAAGAAGGAAGTACTTGCATTTAGTTGAGGTACTAATCAAGCTATGATGGTCATATTGATGTGGAGGATCAAATCATTATTAGATTGATTGTTGGAAGTGACTTGATACATTTGGGGTTATCTATATTTGATGAATGGAATCAAGTCACGTGCTCAAGATGGCTATGCTCAAGTGAAAAGATCAATATCGACATGTTGGCACCCTCACTTGATGAAGATTGAAACATATGGCATCAATTCGAAAGAAATCAACTCAAGCGGTATAATCTCGTTTTTCCTTCTAATCTTGAGTTTATAGGAACACCGTACTATTAAGAGGGATGCATCATGTTGATAGATGATTATTCATAAGTGCTCATGCCAATCCATGTGAGTTTTGAGTATTTGAGAGACAAAAGAGCTAACTTGTTTTTTGCTGGTCTGGCAATACCGGATGTGTCCGGTATTTGTCCAGCCATGGTAAAATTCTTGGTGTTCTCGGGTTGGTTCGTCGGGAGTTTCGGCAATCGTTGGAAGTTTTGACGTCTCATGCTTAACTAACTTTGAGAGTTGACTGCCTAGTCACACCGGATGTGTTTGGTATGATACCGTACGTGTCCGGTATAGTAGGCTAGAGCCCAACGGCAAGTTTTCAAACGAGCCGAGGGTCGAGAGTTTTGACTTGAGTTGGTCGGGAGTTCCGATAGTCGGAAGTCCTAGTAAGCGTCGGGAGTTCCGACACCTCACATACTTTAACTCAGTTACCGTTGGCGCAATGCAAGTCATATCGGACGTCGTCCGGTATTCATACCGGATGTGTCCGATATGGCAACGGCTACATAATGGCTAGTTTTTCAAAGGAGCTTTAAATACCCTTAGCCTCCACCTTTGGAGTTTGCTGATTCTGCTGGTTGTAATACACATTTTTTAGCCTTGCCAACTCTCCCAACCCTCTCTTAGTAAGTGTGTGATCCAAATCGCAAAATCCATTTGTGGGTTGAGAGAGAATTCAAAAAGAGAGCAAGCCACCACTTGAGCACTTATGCATATTGTCTATTTCATGATTCGCATTTGTTACTCCTTGACTCTTCGGTCCCAGATGGCTAGGCGTCACAGGAGAGCACCCAAGAGATTGTGGATGCCTTGAAAAGTCTATAACGGTCGATTCCACCGCCATAAGGGAAGGAATCATCTAGTGCAAGGAGGAAAAGGAGTTGGAAAAGACTTCGGCTAGAGTGACCTTCATGGTACCCTCTAGGGCTGACCTTCGCTGGGTCACCCGTAGCCCCCTCAACTTAGAGTAGGACTCAACAGAGTCTGAACTTCGGTAAAACAAATATCGTGTCTCAATTCGCATTTTATTTGATATTTGTGTTGGTCTAGCTCTTGTGCAGGTTACCTGTGTGTGGCACTATCTTTAGTGGGTGCCTACAGGTTGGTCTGAAGATTAAAATCAAAAGGAGCAAGTTTGGGGTTGTTCTGCAGAACACGTGTATACCAGACACGTCCGGTATACCTACCGGACACGTCCAGTATTAGAGCTCAGTGCTTAATTTATTTGATCCGTGTTCTAACTCTTGTGTTGTAGGTTCTAGGCTCCTAGGATTATTTAATATTGTTTATTTACTCATTGGCTAACTTGTGAGGGGTTGTATTACTCTGATTTGGAGTTTCCACTCGAAAACTCTCATTACTAAATTGTTTTTGCTTTTAAAGGTGTTAATTTATAGAAACACCTATTCACCCCCCTCTAGGCGGCATCCTAGGTCCTTTAAATTGTGTTTTGTAGAAAAGTTTTATAGGCTATTCACCCCTCTAGCCATCTAGATCCTATCAAGCTGCTTGACGTGCATGATTTGCATTGTTGCTGCTAGATTCTGGCTTGACAATGTGGATGTACATGTAGCTCTTCACCATTGGCCTTTCGTCCATATCGAGTTGCTCTTCGAGAGCTTGTTGTCTGCATTGGAGGTGATCATTTTTGTCTGCTAGTGCATCAAGCTGAGGCACGAGTTGATCGCGCATTTTCTCATTGGTATCATAATGTTCTGTTGCCCCCGACTCCATCGAAGGAGTCTGGCATGTGATCTTGCTCTACCGTTTGCAGTTGTAGTGTGCAGGTCCCTCGGTTGCTCGGAGTCAGCCATATAGCATTCCCTCTCGAGGGATAGTCATCCTAATTATGAGTATCGTCATCATCTAAGATAGCAAATGAAATCGTATGCATCTATCTCAACGGTTGTCATGCTCTGGATCTCAAAATCCATGTTGATGTCGTCATAGTCTTCAAGACTTGCCATTGCGATGAATCTACAGCATCATTGAGATTCCCATCATCATCATGGTGTCCTTTTTCTTCGTCTTTGAAGCCGATGGTGCGAGCGCCGTGAGACGCGGCCATAGACTATTGAAGCATATGCTGGTATGCAGCCACGACATTCCTCGGGCTGATTGAGAAATCGACAATGATATTGCATGTTAGATCCTTCTATCCTGCATTGGGAGCCCAGTCGATGGATCCCCGTAGGAAGTTGATGCCCCAATCAAGGATGTGTTTGCGACCAAAGTTGATGAAGAAGCACTGAGCATGGAGGTCCATGTGACGGGCCAACACGGGTGCACCAGCGGCCACAACATCCTCAAGCTCTGCATGGAACATCTAGATGGAAGGGGGCTCCTCCCCTACATGACGGGTTCAGGGTCCTATAGGTGCAGGTTCCGAGGCGATCTGCGACGAAGTCCAGGCTACCAAAGGTGATCTCGTTGAATGTGTGAAGCTTGTCGTAGTTGTCGAAATTGAAGATGATCTCCATATGAAATGCAATGAAAATAGATCTGCACAAGAAGGCCCCACATAGTGCATCAACTGTCGGAAGTATGAACCCTGGCAATGAAGATCAGGGATCATGCGCACGGAATTTGGTGGGTAGCACATGGGACATAGTTTTATATGTGTTTAGGTACGATGTTTTCCTACGTCAAGTGGAGAGTATATCTGTTATCTCGTATGCTCAAGGTTTACAAGGGACGTTGATGGCTATGCGAGCCTAATTGCCTAGTATGTAGAGAAGTTGTAAGGTAACAAATGGGGGCTCCTTGCCTCACCTTATATAGTGCGGGAGGTAGGGTTACATATTAGATCACATTCGGTTGATATACATGTTTTTCTAATTGATTACAGAGAAATCAATCGGATAGAATTAGTTGTTCTAGGCATATATCTTGGCGTCAAAGTCTCGGCCAGTAACTTGTACTCCACATCGATGATGAACCCCACCTGGGTTGGGCCTTATATTCGACTGCCTCGACCCATCCTACCCGTAGTGGGTTTTTCTGTAGGGTTCATACAATCGACACTCCTAATTGTAGTTCTAGTTTGAAGAATCCTATGAGCTAGCCAAATGAGAAATGTTTTTTTAGAAAACATACGTCTGCGAGAACCTCGAAGTAAAGAATTGTCTCTTCTTTTTCTTTCTAGAAAGAAAATACAAATATCTCTAGTTAAGTTAAATGCCTCTGAAGATTGGACCAGTAATCCGGCAGTCACTGCAAGTTCCTCGACCAAAGGTAACGTGGTCACCACCGTCCTCGAGATCCTTGTGATAGTATCTGACAGGTTACCCATCATGGACCATGTAACGCGTGGCTGATTCATCCAGTTCTATTGGAAACATTAGTCATGCCAAGTAGCACCCAAAATTTGGTACCATCCCTGGAAAGAATTTAAACCATAAACTTACAGCCTGTTCGGCAGGCCGTAAACGATCGTAGATTATTTACTGCTGGCTGGTTTTGTGTGAGAGAAAAATAATATTCTAACTTATAATCCACGATTGTATCTGACCAAGCAAACATGCTGATAAACTTGCAAAACTGTAACTTCAATCCAGTAAACTTTTATATACCTATATAGGTGTAACTGCCAGGTAGCTAGCTCCTGCCATTACACTACTCAAAGCCAAAATCAAAGTACCTTTGTTCAAATCTTGGCGAAAACAAAATGCAACCTCAGAAGCCAGACAGGCTCAGGCAGACACACCAGATCTAGAAGCTGGAAATTAAATGCCATGAATGCTATACAACTTTGCAGTTGCATGCTGGTGCTTCGCTACACTCCTCATGCAGAGTAGTAGTCCTTTTCCCCAATAAAAACAAGCTCAATGCAATAAAGCTCTTGCCAGCTTGTGCTCGCCAACCATCCATAACTGGGCATGCAAACAAGAGAAATTCTGCAAAAGTTTCTTCATGGCATCTCTGGAAGGAGAATGGTGCGGTGTTGAGTGAGAATGAGATTGGTACATCTGTGCTGCAGCTCATTTTTCAGCTCTGGCGTAGTAGAGTCAACATGCATAGCTTGGAAATTGGAAACCACATAAATGCTGGTCTTGTTTACAGTTGCACCATCAAACTTCGCCATCAAATATTTAGAAGTGCATTACTCCTCAATTACCACACTCTGTCCCAAATTACAGGCCGTTTTGTTTTTTCTAGATATGTCTATAACATAGGAAAATTAATGCTCATAGAAATAGCAAAACAACCTACAAATTAGAACAAAGGGATTATTATTTTTCGTAAGAATATAACCTGTATTTCTGACTCTATCAGCTGTCAGTATAGATGAATAAATACTTTGGGGGCGTAATACTTGTATAATTGTATACAATGATGTACAGTATCTTCTGCAGTACAAGAAAAAATAGTTGCGCAATGATGTTCAGTGACAATCAGCTCGCAAAAAAAAATACATTTTTAATTAAGCAGAGGAATAATCGTCACAATATTTGACACCTCTTGCAATATATAGAAACCAACACCTTTTTTTTTACAGTTACAGTCGACACGACACCAAAAGAATTTCCAAAGCCGAACAACAAATGACTAACACATATATCGACTTATATAGTAATTTCTATATAAACACATGGCCAAATAGTTTATGCTATAATAATAATACCCTGTATATATGTTCCCTCCGCCACTCCACAGCCTAGCTACATATACCGCATCAAAAGGAAAACTGCACAGATCTTAAAGCTAAACAAATTGCTTTTCAAAATCCTGTGCAGTTTTCGTTTTGTCGATACAGCTGAGGCACTAGAATTTCCCTTTGCCCAGTGAGACGAGACGAGATGAGATCTACACGATGTACTACTGATGAAATGAAGAGAGAACACTGCCATGAAAAGCAGGCAACCAAACCCCACCGTGCTGTCCAACCGTGGAAGGGCCGGCCTGCTAGCTGTCTGCAATGAATGAAGGGATCTATGGACGGATGGACTGGTGTGGTACGCTTGCAATTGCATTGGTGGGAGCGGGATCAGTCAGTTGAACTTGGAGCAGACCTTCCTGACCTCGCCCTGCTTCCTGCCGGTGATCACGCCGATGCGGCCCATGCGGACCATGGCGTCCGCGAAGTCCTGCCGGAAGTAGGGCCCGAAGAAGTTGCTGAGCAGGCCGGAGTAGGAGTCGACGACGTCGACGGTGGCCGTGTCGTTGTAGAGCGAGGCGTCGGAGCCGATGACGGCGAAGCCGTTGCGGATGTTGCGGAGGATGGAGGTGTCGAAGACGCCCTCGCTGCCGCGGTCCAGCGCCAGCCGCGTGTTGAAGTCCCCCGGCGCGCACCGCGACTTGAGCTCCGACAGGAACCCCGGCGGGATGGTCGGGTCCGAGCCCCGGCCGCCGCCGGGCAGCGGGAAGTTGTACAGCCGATCCTGGAGGAAGAAGCACGCCGTCGTGCCCACCGTGTGCGCAGCTGCATCATCATATATGCACGTGTGTTCAGTTCGCGCGTCCATCGTCCATGCGTGCAAGAAAAGAGAGCGAGATGCATGCGTGCGTACCGGTGAGGAGGACGAGGTCCTTCTCGTCGAGGCCGTTGGCGCGGAACTTGGAGCGGAGCGCGTCGATCCCGTCGTGCACGTCCGGCAGCGCGTCGGCGTCCCGCAGGTTGGACACCTTCCCGTCGAGCCGCCCCGTCGGCACGTCGAACGACGGCCCGCCGGTCTGCACGCCGTCGTCGTCGTCACGCAAGTGTGTTCACGTCGGTCGGTCAGATCCCAGTTATCAATGTGCACATATATATTTATCCACAGGTGGTACTGGCAGTGGTAGTACGTACGAAGGCGATGGCGTCTCGGGCGGCGAGGACGACGATGTCGGCGCAGGAGACGACGCCGGGGCACTGGGCCTCGAGCTGCGTCTTGGCGCCCTCAATGATCTCCACGCCGCGGAGGCCCTGGTGCTTGCTGTTGTCCACCTCGGCGTTGTTGCTGCCGCCCTTGATGAGCACCGACGCGTCGCACCCGCGGACGAAGCAGTCGTGGAACTGGAGCCGGATGAGCGCCGGGAGGATGGTGGGGTCGGCGGACCCGGACTGTCGGACGACGGACGCGACGGTGGACTCGGCGCCTGGGCAGGAGTTGGAGTAGAACCCCACCTGGAGCTGGCCGTTGGAGACGCCGGCGAGCAGCAGCAGCAGCAGCAAGCATGGTAGGGCCAAGCCAGGTGGCACGTTGCCGCTGCTACGACTACACCTTGTGGTGGTGGCCATCTTAGAGCGAGGGACGGAGGTGGCGAGGTGGATACGTACTAGCAGGAAGGGATGGAGGAGGTGCAAGTCCTGTGAGCTGCGTAAATGAGGTTTTATAGGCCATTATAGGCTGTTTTGGTGAGGCGGTTGGCGTCAATGGTGCGGCACATGTGTTGTTCACGGTGCATGATTTCCTCTCACCAGAGTGTATTGCTGGGTACGTAGGGGTAAAGTTAAGGGCCCGTTTGGCACGGCTTCCACCGGCTCTGGCTCCGCCTCCGCCTGACAAAATATGCGCTGATCACTGTAGCGATGAGACGGTTTTCTCTCTCCACCTTTTCTGTGTCACTGTAGCGTGGGTACTGTAACATGCGGGAGATGAAGCCAGAGAAGCAAGGAAAACAGCTTCTCCGGCTCTGATGAACAGTGCGAGTGTCAGTGAGAGGGGGAGAGGAGGAGAGAGGAAAGCCGCTTCTATGAACAGTACGTTACAGTGTCGGTGTTAGGGAAGCCCGAGCCGGCCGGAGCCATGCCAAACGGCCCTAAATGTGCCCTGCCAAACGTCTGGTACAGAACAAAAACTGCAATGCATATTTAGCTCACTTGCGTAGTTTTGAATTAATAGCTTTTTTTTACCATGAGTTAAGCTAAACTTTAGACAACATTTTAATTTTAGACCATGCATTTAGAGCCTTAAATCATGTAATCCAAACAAAGCCTTACATTTGTGTAAAAAAATATGAAACGCCTTATAAAATAGAAAAGCTTGGAAAGGAGGAAAACAAACACGACGATGCGTTTTTACAATATAATGTGGATATGTGTATAAGTTTTTGTTTTTGGAAATTTTATTATACGCGGTCATGCTATTATATATACTGTACATATACACACACATTTAATTTTCGCTTCGTACCTATCAGATTTTCTGACGTGAGAATGTTGCACGACTAGAATAACACCGGCCAGCTGAACTACATGCTCCGGACTTCAATCTTGGGGAGCATGTTGCATGGGAAGAAATTCCCAGGGGACCGAGGGACGATAGGCCGTTCATGCAGCTGCATAGGGTCACCGGAGTAATGTGTGGCAGCCTGGCAGGCTCCAGTGCATCCCATGGCGCCATGGCGTGTTCATCTATCCATCCATCGCTCGCAATTTATGATGGTTTTTTTGCCTTTTTGGACCGGTTGTCACTGCAAGGAGGAGATGGTCCAATACGTGGTTGGCACCGCGCCGCACACATGAGGGTGTCGGCTGAGCTCCCAGGGTTGGCTTGCTTTGGTTTACGGCATGCACCTACCCAACGTATGAAAACTTGTGTGTGTCACTGACTGCACCTGCAGTCCTAGGATTTCGTCCAGAATGTAGCAAGTACTCCGTAGGAGGCAAGTGTGTGTACTCTGTACGTACGTGTGCATTCGTTCTGGAAGCTTTTTACTGGGAGAAAACTTCGCGGAAGCGGAAGTACGCTGTCATGGTTGGGGTCGGTGGAGTTGTCTCCCGTTTTCTTTTGCAAATGGTACAGTTGCACTCATCACACACGTGCGTAGGCCGCAAGCACCTGAGAGCTCCTCGTGAATTGCACAGGTAAACAGTCAATTCTCACATAATAAGTGAAGATTGATTTCCTCGTGAACGCTATCCTTCCATATTTTGAGGTAAAATGAATATTTTACTAACTCATGTCTTTCAAAGTAGCTACTCCCTCACTCAGGATATATCAATTTGTACAGTTGTCTTAAGTCAATTTTTTAAGTTTAACCAAATTTGTAGAAAAAAATGTCAAAGATTTATGACACCAAATTACTATAATCAGATACACCCATAAGCTATATTTTCATAATGTGCTTATTTTGTGTCACAAATATTCATCTTTTTTCCTATAATATTCGATCAAACATAAAAAAAAGCTTGATTTAAGATAACTCCTCTAAGAATCAATTTATTCAAAGACATAGGGAGTACATATGTTTCAAAAAAAGCAGGGAGAGGGGGAAGAAAAAGAAGAATTAATTGGAAAGAAGTCTCCAAGTGAAGACCAATAAGGGCACCCGCAATGGGAGCTAGTTACTAGTTCTAAGCCAACATCTCCAATAGAGTTAACTATTAGCACATAACTCTTAGAATGGATGGACCCACATGCCACTCACATAACCTTGAAACATGTGCAAGAGCTTAGCTCTTGATTAAGAGCTAGCTTTTTTCTCTCTTCTATTAAAATATGAGAAAAATACTTAAAGCTAGCTTAAAAGCCAATTGTCAGAGCTGCCCTAACGTGCAAGTTGGGAAAAATATTGTGGTATCTTAAAAACAATAAATGCCTCATGGCTCGGCACTCGATTGTATGGTTGCATTGGAAATATATATATGTTAAGTCCTGCGTTCACAAATGTATGCCCCACGCTATTTAGTCAAAACATGCAAATTTAGTAACTATGAATATACATACTTTTCATAACAAATCCAATGATATCCCTCTGTCCTGAAATATAAGTGATCCATTGTTCAAAATTTGTACCAAATAGTACAAGGTATTCTAGGCCATCAATCATTCCTCTTCTTTGTCTTTTTTCTAGCACATACTGAGTTTCCTTTTAAATTTGGTTTCAACTAAACAAACAACCAGTAAATAAGGAAAATAACAACCGAACTAATCCCTCAGTCCTAATTAGTGAAGGTCGAGATGGTATTTTACCAGACTCCTTTTTATCTAAAACTTGCTTGGATACCTTATATTTCAAGACCGAGGGAGTATACAATACAATATGCATTTCCCTTATCTGCATTGAATATACTTTCCGTAACAAACCCAATGATACAATACAATATACATTGGCTTATCTATCTTGTTCTTTCTTAATAGATATAGTTGTTCAGGTCATACTAAATTCATCAACCTGATGTGTTATTCTATTAGTTTATATTTGAAAGCGTCGAAGTATCAGTTGTTCACATGCATTTTAAGACAAAATCACTTCTTTCAACCGGTAAAATCTTGACCCAATAATCACTCTTCTTTCAAGTTACATCTATCGCCCTCGGAAGAGCATATACAAGTCCTCAACCACACTGCTCTTCTCTTCCTCGTCTACAACAATGGATCAGCAGAGACACCCCGTCACTTTCTAATTATATCATTCTCATTGGCGATTTTGGCGCACCTAATTCGATACATAATCATTGATGATACACCGCATCGCCATCCGAAATCCTCATCTCGACCAAACCTCTAGAGCCATGGTCACCTTGTCACACCGTGGCAAACTGCCTTATCAGTTATCATGCGATCCTGTCCTTGATCCCACTCACCAGTAAGAGAACCAGAGGAGCCGTAACTCTATTTTTGAAAATTTGAACGTTAACTCTATCAAATCCGAGAGCTGTTAGAGACGAAGAGTTTGCGCCATGGTGCGAAGCCTGAACCATGAACAAATCCAGCGGTAAGAAGACTCGAGTCATGGGATAACAAAATTCAATCACAGTTCCTGCAGGCTAGATAGCACAGTAATTCTTCATTGACAACCATTATGGAAATGTATATGGTTCCGAATAGAGACTACTTAAAATAATTTTTTTAGACTACATAACTTCGTCTTTGATATGGACCCCTATCAAACAGTCCTAAGATCAGTGACTACTACCTGCTGTTTTTGGTGCAGGATAAAACGTGGCCCACTCAATTAAAAGGCCGAAGTATTGGGACAACTACCAGTAAGGTCCTGAAAAACACATTCTCAGTTCAGAAACAAAGAAAAAAATTAAGACGTTGATAGTGAAAGCAAGCGACCCATGTATGATGTATCTAAATTGGCTTCTTGTCAAGAAGATATTTAAAACCAAATCAAACAATAGAAACTAATAGAATAAAATAGAGGAAACTACATTATCCAGGTCGATTAATCTGTGCTGATTGCGACTAGGCATCGACAGACATGAAATTTATGGCGTACAAGATTGCTTACAACACACAGGAGAATGTGTGTACATACATGGCTACAAGTATGGTGAGCTGTGCGTTGTGTCTTGCAAATAAATAAAGTACCCGCCGTGCATGTGTGCGTGCCCAGTTAGGTTTGCTAGCTCACGCATTGTTCTGGCAGCTGCTATCTCTGATCTCTCGCCGGTTTAACGGCCACGCTATTTATTGCCCACGTTGCATGTCTCCGATCAAGAGCATTGGCAAGAATACCAATGCAGAGTGTTAGGAGCAGTTCACAACATTCATGCACGATCCTTTCTATGGCTGTTAGTGATTACTCCCTCCGTCACGAAAATTATTATAGATGTTAAAAACAAAATATATCACGTCATGGCCTAATGTTAATCAATTTCCTATTGTATTTACACGTAATATGCATAAATAGAAAAAACTAATGCTAACTAATATATGTCATCACATCATCTAAAGTTCCAAAATTAAAGATTTAGCACATCCAGCCACCCCTTAGACGCCGCCCTCCGGTCTAGCGCCCTCCTCCGTGAGAATGCTCGTGGTAAGAATGTGAAAAGACCCTTGCATCAAATTTTAGATCTAGTTTGCTTAGAATTTAGTCCACAAAAATCTACTGTCAAAATCAAATATTTTTTTGTCTACATCTTGTTACCTGTGATGACTCCGAAGTTAGCCACGATGAAGTCTCTATTGCAGGCATCGATTTTATCGACAGAAGATTAATTAGTGGTCATTGTTGCAAAGGAAGGAGTATTCTTGGACACTCTACACGAGAACAGTAACTTCATCGATCCCTTTAGAGTAAGGCTAGTAATACAGTCTGCTACTAGGTGTATGTAAACTTACAGCTAACCTATCAAGCCCACTAATAGTTAGTCGACTTATAGCCTACACGTCTGTCTCATAAATTTTTTTGGTTCTTATGTATATATAAGCTGGTTGTAAGCTTACAACTCGCTTCTCCTATCTTTCGTCCTCTCTCTCCTCCATCTAAGCATACAACCTACTTATAGCCTCTTATTATACTTGCTCCTATCAATGGAGTCGTGTGCCCTGAGCTACTGGT